TCCTCCTTAAAGACGGTCATCTCTTTCGCGGAAGCAAACTGTGCATCCCACGAACTTCTATGCGAGATTTTCTTGGTTGGGAATTACATGCTGGAGGTTTAGCTGGTCATTTTGGGATCAATAAAACTGTGGCATTAGTTGAAGACAGGTTCTATTGGCCTTCGCTCAAGCGTGATGTGGCTCGCATAGTGTCTCAATGTCAAAATTGTCAAACTTCTAAAGCTAGAAGACAGAATACCGGTTGGTACACTCCCTTGCCAATCCTCGAGGCACCTTGGAAAGACTTGAGTATGGACTTTGTCTTGGGATTGCCTCGAACAGCTAAAGGTGACGATTCTATTTTGGTTGTTGTAGACAGATTCTCCAAGATGGCCCATTTTATTTCCTGTAGCAAGACCATAGATGCTTCTCATCTTGCAAAATTGTTCTTTAAGGAGATTGTGCGTCTGCATGGGTTACCTACTACCATTGTATCCGATAGGGATGTTAAGTTTGTTAGCTACTTTTGGAAAACCCTATGGAAACTTTTTGGTACCCAGTTGAAGTTTTCTTCTGCTTTCCACCCCCAGACAAATGGGCAAAACAAAGTTACTAATCGAAGTCTGGGTAATTTGCTTAGAAGTTTAGTCGGAGACAAGTCGAAGCATTGGGATTTGGTTCTACCCACTGCCGAGTTTGCATATAATAATTCAGTAAATAGGTCCACAGGCATGAGTCCCTTCCAGATTGTTCAAAGTTTTAATCCCAAACAGCCTATTGATCTTATGCCAATCCCGTTGACATTTCGTACTTTCGAATCTGTAGAATCCTTTGCCCATTGCCTTCATGAATTACATGCTGAAATTAGGCGAAAATTAGCAACAAGTAATGATCAATATAAATTATTTGCTAATACTCATCGTCGATTTCGAAGCTTCAATATAGGCGACTATGTTATGGCTCGAATTAGTCCAGAACATTATCCTAAATGCACTTTTAAAAAGTTGCATGCTCGAGCTTCTGGACCTTTTCGCATAGCAAAGAAGTTAGGATTTAATGCCTATCTTTTAGAATTACCTCCTGATATGGCCATAAGTTTGGTTTTTAATGTGGAGGATCTTTCGCCTTACTGGGGAACTTTTGAGTCTCCCCCATTGCTTTCTGATGATTCTGCAGGTGCTCGGCCCTCGCAATCCCATCATTGCCGTCTATCTCACCGTCAATGGAAGAGATCGAAACCATTATGGATGACCAAATTGTCCTAACTTCTAAGGGGCCCCTCCATCATTACTTGGTTCGCTGGAAGGGTTGTTCAAATGAAAATGCCACTTGGATCTCAGAAGTTGAGTTTAAACAACTTGATCCTACCCTGCTGGAAGCCTATCAACTTTCTATCTCTCTGAAGGAGAGTTCTTTGCAGCAGGGGGGAATTGATAGGAAATATGGGAGACATTATTCTAGAAAAAAATAAATTCTCTTTATGTTATTTTAATATTTTGTAAGAAGGAAAATATAAAGCCTAACTTTATATGGACAAGGTGTTATGGTTTCCTTTTGTGTTCTTTTGTAAGAGGAAATCTGAAAGTTAGCTTTATATGTAGATGTGATCAAGGCTTCCTTATTTAGGCATGAGAGTTTTGTTAAATAGACTTGATTGCACTTGTAATGGACAGACTTGATGAATGAAATATTGTGATTGCATATTCAGAAGCTCTCCCCATCTCTCTGCATTCTGTCTCCCTCTCCCTTGCTCCCCCATTGTTCTGCTCTTCATTTCTCCCTCCCTATTTCTAGTTTCTCTCTACTCTCTCCCTTTATTCAGATCTGTGTGAGTGTATGTGAGTGTGTGTTACATCACTGGTGCAGGGTGGACCGAGGTTTGCAAACCCCCCCCCCCAAACTTTTTTTTTTTTTTCCAAATCTGAGAGAGAATGTAAAAACCATTCTTTTCCTTCCTGTCTCCAACAAAAAGGAAAGTTCTCCAAATTGTGTTTTGGCAATGCCCTCCCCTTCATGAATTAAAGGAAAACTCAAGGTTGAAACTAGTGTATGCTGTTTTTGAAGCAATGTTGTGAAGCCATTTAGCAAGACTTACCAATTTTTCAGTTGTAAGGATTAGTGAATCTGGAAGCATAAACATTTGGACTAGTTGTTAATAGTCGTAGGGGACCTTTTCCTCAATGAAGACTAAGGAGCTTATCTCAGGGTCCCTTGAGGCTCTCCACTGCATTATAAGTTTTTTTCTCACTCATGATCTCCAAGAGAATGAAAGCTAAAATGAAACTAGTGAAAGAGTTGGAGAATGTATTTCTTTCTATGAAAGTGGAAGAGGTACAATGAAAATTGGGAGCTGGTGATTGAAGGAAGAAAAAATTGGGGTGCAAAGAGAGTGAGGAAGAGGCAAAGGAGAGACAGAGAAGTAAAGGGATATGGAATGTTATTTGTTACGATATTGTGATTCTTGGGATAGTTAAAAATGAAGATTTGGCCATACATGAATCATTTGAAGAAATGTGGGAGACAATGGAAACATTATCTTAATTTTACACCATAAGGAAAATGTAGTGTTGAATTGGTAATTCAATGAAGGGCGAATTGACTGTTGAAGTTCTCTTCACTCTAGCACATGCCAACTTGATCTCTTCTGCCATTTTTTCCTGCCTCTTTCACAGCTCACCTGCTGACATTGACATGCAACATGGTGAAGTGGTGATAAGCCACCATGCTCTAATACAGTTTATCCAAGAAGGCATAGTAAAGGACGAATAACAACAGCAATAAAGAAATGCTTGGAGAATGCCTAGATTTTGGGTATCAATACACGTCAAATGTTCATGAATGCTTCTGATAAATACGAATAGATAGAAGAGAGAAAGGGAGGGGGGGAGATTTGGAAATTTGCATCACATTGTATGTCTGTCAAAGTCCCCCTGCACAAGCTTTTCACTCTAATTTATTAGCTTTTGCCCATCCTACAGTTATAACTACCTAATTGATTAATTCACACACACCTGCAAATTTTATATATCAGCTTCTCCCACATTTCTTAGTTGTTCATCAACCTCTTTCCCTGGTTTTTGTTACCTCACCATGGGTAGTTGGGTACTACTAAAGAGGATGTCCGTAGTGTTTCCATGTGGATTTTATCTGGCACTGTACTCGTTACAGTTTTGCTGTCTATTGGGTTAAGAAGGTTAACATGTGGTCCGCAGTGATTTGAGACACTATAATCATTTCATTTCAAAACTAGTAATGATAAATATGAAGCATGTTTAGGTGGATTTTCCTCTTGAGACCATTCACTGTTTGATGTTATCTTCCTTGCTTAGTTATTTGTCTTTACCCTCTGTAGTGATCATTTTCTATTTGATAATCCCTCAGGAATTTTAGTTAACTTAGGAGGCTAATGATAGGAGATATCTCAAGAGTTTACTGTATCCTTCATTTAGAAAATGAAAATCACCACGTTTGGCCTATGTTCTTAAATCAATTATTTTGGGGACTTCAATCCCTTGGGTATTATTTATCTATGAAGTCTGTGTAACTTGCTCTGAATGTACTCATGGGAATTATGTTTTACCACCTGTCTAATGTCTCTTCAAAGCTTCCTTGTTAAAAGATGCTAGTATTCTCCTTTATTCTTTGACTTCCAAACACCACCACATGGTTTGACTCTGACTTCCCCAATTTTGACATAAAGCAACCACATAGTTCCTTAACATTGAACCTTTGCATTGCCTGCTCTTTATCAGCTCAAACTTTCTATCATAAATGACATTGCAAAAGCCCAATTTATCTCAGAGAATATCAGTGTGTTTACCAATTTTTTTGATGAAATTGTGTCAGCCATATTTAACAGTAGATTCCTATGATTTTCAATTTTCCCAACAAAGCGAGCAGCAACAAAAGCTTTAACATGCCTAATGAAATTAAAAGGTGCATATGGAGATTTGTACGAATTGATACCCTCCATAGGATAGAGATGCTAATAACTTGTTTTGCTTCCTGAAACCAAACAAATAAAGTTTTTACTGCTAAGAAAACAAAATGAACAAGAGTGGGTGTTTGGTTTTAGGAGTGGAATCTTCAATGTTGGGGAGAGTAAGATGTGCATAGGACTTTTGTTCGAGAATGGGGAGAAGATCACTGTATTTTGAACAATAAACATATTTTACTATAGGGAAAATGACAATTAGGGATCCCTTAAGAACAGTAATGATAATTACAGACTTAAATTATTGAAATCTCAATAATAGACCATAGTCTTTAGTTCTCATAAATTATTTTTTGTTGATTGGCTTGAGATTCACCCAGTTTTTTGTAAATTCTCAACTAATACTACTAAAATTCCCAAGTATCCTTTGTTAATTTCCCAAACGATAGCAAAAAATCACAAATAATTGGCCTGCAATTCACAACTAACTCTCATAAAGTTCTAATTGATTTACAAATAATCCCAAGTGTGTTTAGTAGATTTCCCAAGCGATTTATCTACATGTTTAATAGCCAAAAAGTCACAAGTAATTGACTTGCAATTTACAATTGATTTTTGTAAATTCCCAACTAGCGTTATAAATAATTCCAAGTGTATTTTCTTTATTTTTCAAGTGGTTTATCTATGTATTAACAGTAAAAAATCGAGATTCACAACTAATTCTTGTAAACTCACAACTGACATCACAACTAATTGCAAGTATATTTTGTTGATTTTCCAATTAATCATTCGCAATTTTTTAATTGCAAGTAAAGATTATGGTTTGTTATTGAGATTTCAATAATTTAGGGTTTGTAAATTGTCTTTAATGGTCTTATGGGGTACTTCATTGTTATTTTCCTTTTTCTATATGCATTTTCCAAACAGATACCCTACTTTACACTAATCGCCTGGTAACTAATCTCATGGTTTTTCTTTGGTTTATAGTTAACATTATAGTTAATCTTGCATATCTCTGTTTTCATCTGTGCACATTAGTCATCTTTCCTTTTATATGATGGATTCTCATAAATAAACTCATATCCAGGTGTCATTGATGATCATGCAACATTATGAGCCACCTATCCTCGCATGTGCTGTTAATGAGGTTCTTGGTAAAATAGCAGGAGATAAATCATCCCTAATACCAAAACTGTATGTACCAATTATTGTGGAGTCATCCCAAATTAAAGGGGAAAGCAAATCCTTAAGATCTGATGAGAGCAGAGCATTAGTTTACGGTATACAGATAGGTCAAGAAACAGAAACCAATGAGGCCTTACTCTCCAAAATTGTGAAACCACCATCCTCGCTTCGGATTCAGGATGAGAAGTTAGCATGTTGTCTTCACTTACTTAGCGTGTTGAAGCTACCAACCTTTTTTCTCATTGGACAAACAGGACAGTACTTACTGAATAAAGCCTCTGAACAGTTTGAGGTATATTTCCCGAGCCTTTTCTTCTTTTTTCTTTTCTTTTTAATGATGCAAAGGGATACCTCTGTACACCGTAACATACCGCATCCTCACCTTCTGAAATAAGTGTAAACTAAAATTGACTCTGTCTCGTTTTGCTAAATCAGTTTACTCCCTTGTGGTTTAAAGTGCCTTATTCAACATTGATTCATTCATCTACCGTTTAACTGCCAGATGATAATTTTACTTTGTTAAAGTGGAAAAAAAAAAATTCCGTGTTAAATGTTTTCCCTTGATCTTGAATATTTTCAGTGTCACAGAATTGGATTTGAGTGAGCAATTTCAAAACTTTAACCTATCAACTGATTTAAGATGTTAGTATAGCATACTTTTAACAGGCAAGTTGTTCATTATTTTGAATTTCATCTGATTACTTACTTCCCCATTGCTTGCTGGAAAGGAATGAAATTAAATGGATTAAGAAAATAAAGATAAAAATAAGTCAACTATGTTTATGAGGGGAGATGAATAATTTAATTCTTAAGGTTGGGAGTCATGATTCTTTAAGTTTGTGGTGGCTGTGGTGATTCTCATGTTTAAGGTATGTGGTATTGAGTTTTTTCTTACTTGCCATGAGGGATTGGATAGTTTAATTCATTTATGTTCGTTTTTTTTTAATAATCCATTCCATTCATAATGGGACCTTAGGCAATAGGTTAAAATTTTAGAATAAAAATACATTAAGGTGGTTAAATGGCGATGCAAACAAACTGCATGGGGGGTGAATGAGGTGCTTTAAACCACTTGGCATGGAGACCTACTGAATTCATGTCAGACTACCAATGGATGAAATTAAAGTCTTATCCTGGCTATTTCTTTATTTTCATTGGCTGCCCGAAAAAGGGAAAAAATTAAGGGAGAATTACATATTAGTCTCATTAAAGAAATAAATTACTTACAAGTTCTGTTCACTTGTAAATGCAAAAGTTTAACATGAAAATATAGAAATCTGACTTGCAAATGGATAGAAGAAATAATTAATTTCCTTATTTGAGATCTGATTGTAATTCTCCTTAAAATAACTCCTTTTTCTTTTATAATCCATGTATTTATTTTCAGCATCTAATCTTTTTTGTTTTGCTAGATAACTCACACTATTGGCGAGATTTTGGCGAGCACAACAGGCTTGCATTATTCGAAAGACAGTGTGGCATTGAATCCAACCAAGGCATCAAGGGATAGCAAAGAGCCATGGCGTGCATTATATGGTTGAGCAGTAACAATAAAAAAGTTTGACGGATTTGGTGCCTTCAACCTTTAGTCCTTTTTTGTTGGTGAATATTACCTTAAAGGGTATTTTTATCCCTCGATTATTCGCTTAGAAGCATATGGCATTATAAACTTTCATGTTGTGTAATTCTCTTTTTAATTTTTAAAAATAATGCATTAAGCATATCACTGTTAAAAAAGTTAACTTTGATTGTTAATTAACTTTAAAATGGTAGCAAAGAATCTCAAAAATTACATAAAAGAATTTATAAAATTATACATAAGTACTTTGAGAAAATTAATATAAATTAAGTTTCCTAAATTATATATAAATAATAATATACAAATGTTATTTTTTATCCACATAAAATGTTAAAATACAATTTCAACTAACCATTATTTTAGTGACTTGATCAATATTATTTTTTTATAGGTTATGTATTTGAATTTTATGAATTTTTTTCTGTAATTTTTAAGCTTTTTTTTATAATTTGTTGGTCAATGAACAACTAAAATTAACTTCTTAAATAGTAAAGTGCTTAATGCATTATTTTTAAAAATTGAAAAGGAAAATTGCTTCATATGAAAGTTTATAATTTCAAGTACTGAACAAATAATTGAGAAGTAAAAATGTCTTTTAATGCCAGAATATTTAAACATTTTATGAAAAAATAAGTAAGGTCAAGAGTAATAGAAGTTTATGTTTAAATGTTGTACATGATAATGTAATGGATGGCAAAATTAGATTGATTGATTTGAAGAATACAAGGGCACCATTTATTGCTCTCGGATGGATCATCAAGTTGAATCTGTCATTGACTTGTTACAAAGATTATTATAAAAGAAATTTTTTGATGATGGAAAATCACACAAACGTCTGTATATGAATTTTAATTTCTGAAAAGTCTCATAAAATACATAAATAATCCCGAAGTCACATGAACTTTAATGAGAAAATGATTATAAAAACCTTTTAAACTATCTAAATGATAAATTGATATCATAAAATAGTATAATTTTTCTGGAGTCTCAAAGAATGTTTTTGTCATTAGAGAATTATAAAAAATGACACTTTTTTCCTTTATTCAAATTAAAGTTCATAACTTTTCATTCACAATTTTTATTCATATATTAATACTTTTGTTTCTAAATTCACAATAATTTAATAATTATTTGCAAGTCTTGATTTACAAATCTTGATATGCATCAGGTGTTGAAAATTTATAATTTTTCATTCACAACTTTTGTTCTTATATTAAAAAATTTTATTTATAAATTTTCAACAATTCAATAGTCATTCATAACTCCACATCTGCAGGTTCTAATATACATCAAGTGTTAAAAATTTGTAACTTTTTATTTACAACTTTTGTTTCTAAATTCGCAACAATTGAATGGTCATTCACAACTTTGCATAAGCAGGTTCTGATATGCATCAGGTGTTGAAAATTTACAACTTTTCATTTATAACTTTTGTTCCTATATTAACAACCTTTGTCCCTAGATTCACAATAATGCAACAAGAATTTGTAATTTATCAGTACCCTCTGTAAATTGATTAAATAGGAAAAACTGAATTACCACTATAATCCAATAAATAACAACTTTCATTAATTTAAATGATAAAAAAACCTTAAAAAGTGACAACTATCTAAGGTTTTGTTGTCAGTTACATAATTTACAACTTGCATTAAAATACCCTACAATCCTTTTGGCAAAAATATATAAAGGGTTAAATCTTCTAGTGTCATCCCAACATGTCAACCATTTCTCATGCCAACTTAAAGTAATAAAATAGCCATGTATTAGCATGTCTATTTTCCAAACATTATAATCATATATCTTTTATGTTTTATCTAACAACAATTATTCTTCTTACATTCGCAGCTTTGTATTGGTTATTCACAACTTTGGTTTATGCATTTACAACACAACTGAAAATGATATATCATTTATCATTTATCCATGAGTAAGCATCCATATCCACGTACAACAGAGAAAATGAAAACCTCAATCATATATGCACATTAACTCACATCAACTTCAACTATCAGATATGGGAGGAGAAATTTTCAAGAAGAAACTTACCCATATATAGCATAGCTAATAGAGAAACCCATGTACAAAAACTCAAAAAGAAATAAAACAGATGAGAAGGAGAAAGAGAAGGAGACAAACTAGAAGAAGAGCTCAAAGAAGAGAAGAGGAGGAGAATAAGAAGACAAAACAGAGGCAAGAATGCACAAGAACGACTCTACATTGAGGCTTGAGATTTTTATTTTATTTGAGGGCAATTTGATCATTTTCTTTAATTTCCTAATGATAGAAAAAATTTATGGGACTCTAAGAGAATTATGTTATTTTTTGAAATCAATCTGTCATTTATATAATTTAAATGAATTTTTCTATCATTTTCCCAACTTAAATCGTAATTAATGTTTAATGTATATTTACCAGAATGCTCTCTTTTAAAATTTATCTCCGCATGGTTGTCAGCGTTAGATTCGATGAACTGTGGCGGCACCAGCGCCAGTAACCATCGGGAGAATTTTAAAATTTTTAAAAGAAGTTATTTTGATAATTGTATACTAAAATTTAATTACAATTAAAGTCGGAATTTTAGGATTATTTATGCATTTCATAGGATATTTTGGAAATTAGAATCCATATACACCTTTATGTAATTTTTCCTGTATATAACTGATTCTCTCTCACCTTTAATTGAATATCTTGTCGCAAGTTGGCACAGTTGATTCTAAAATACAATCAATTATCAATTCTTACACTAAACATCTACTTGTTGATAATCAGATCACCATAATCCTATAACAGCAAGGTTTAGCCAAATATTGCCTATAAATAATCATAATAACCCAATTGATGTGTCTATTTTATACGTATAAAGTATCCACATTTATGCATTAAACTGTGCTAAAATATGATGATCATAGTGTCTAATTGATAAAACACGAGAGGAGAAGATATTGAATTTGCAATAAATTGAGCCAAAAACCTTCAATCTCTCTTTCAGCCCTAAACAAAATGTTGGTGAATTAATGAACTAATTTAAATACGATTGACATTTAACCAATAGGAAATTGACAGAAAATGCCACACCATGTAAAAGTCGAATACATGAGTAGAAAATACAAACAATAAGCACACATAACCATCTGTCATTGCTGAATTATTTGCAATTTTCAAAGGTCTTGAGTTATGTTGGTAAAAAAAATATAAGACTCTGAAAGTTTTTTGTGATTGTACACAAGCTATTTCAACAATCACAAGAGACAACCATGATATGATTATCACCCCTTTCAAAGTATCATCAATTCGATAAATTTATTTTATGTATAAATTGGAATGTGGACTCTAACTTTTTGTATAAGGATGATTATAGGATTGCTGATTACCTTACTAAGTTAGCTTATAGATTATGCAATGACTTTAATGTTTTTGATACCCTGCCCATTAGATGACAAAGGGCGGCTGGTCTGTTTTTTTTGTTGTTTTTGTTGTTTCACGTCTCATGTAATGTTTTCACATTCTGCTGAATGAGTATAGCATATTCGTATTAAAAAAAAACAATAAGAAGAAGAATATACATGGGAAAGATGCACTGTGTATTTACATCAGTAATACAAATCTGATCAAGAGATACGTAAGTGAACAATCTTTCACTTTAGTACCAAATGCTTCACTTTAATCTCTGTTAATATATAGGATATAAGAAGAAAGTGTGAACGCAGACACAGTGACATTGAAGCAAGAGTTGTGTGTTGTTTACTTTATAGCACTTGATTTAAGATCTAGATTCCCCATGAATATATGGCCCTTTTAAAAGTAGGGCTTCTTATATATTAATTTGTTCAAAAAATCAGTATTTATATCAGCAATGCAAATTTTAAAGCAATCTTAAGAATGTTCAAACAAACTTCTCTTTGATTGATGATTCCCATACTTCTAGTGAACAGGACTCAACCTAGCCCTTCCAAAGAAAGTTCCCGGATATCTTTAAAAAAATTTAATTAATGACAGAATGAATCACAAGGTTAAGCAAAGTTAAGAACCTAACCTTCAATGCATATAGTTTGAAGACAGACTATGAATAATAAATGTTCAGTTATTCTTCTACTTAATAGGGAGTAACAATGGCAGCCAAGGCATAGTAATAAGGATATGTGCAGAGATATGTAAGGAAGAGGTGCAAGATAACATGATTTGCATTGATCCCATTGTGTGCTTTATGCTTCATTGAAGTAGCAGCCAAATTTGATTACTGCCAAAACAAAAAAACAAAAAAATCTAGTCTGCTTTCTTAACTTCTTCCAACTTTTTTTTTTCTTTTTGTCTCAAAGGCATGATTTAGAGCAAAATAATGATTCTGATTTCATTAATGGATTAATAATTGGTCTTTGAAATATATATGCGCACGCTCCCATATATATATATATATATATGTATGCATGCTTGGATGCCAAGAGAAGATGATCCTTAGTAATATGAAAACTATAACATCCCAAATTTTAATTCAAAAGGTTAGCTTAGTCAATTAAGATATTTAATTAGTTAATTAAGATGATTAAGAATTAATTATAGAGTTTGGAATGGCTATTTGGACCTATTGGACCATATAGGAGGCTTAGAAAGAGGTTAGAGAGGGTATTGGGCCGTTCTAGGCCTAACTTAACGAACCTTAATGATGCTACTTGATTTGGGTCATCCGCCATGGTAGACACATCAAATTTTAAAATCACAAAGATGCAATTGGTTTTCATTTCAGAAGAGATTTTGGAGGTCCAATCAAGATAGAAGGAGGAGGCCTCATACTACTAGAACAAATAAATTTAGCAAGGGACTGGCATATTGTAACGTCCTAGAGGTTAAATTACAATTGACTCTAAACCATAGCAATCTAGGGTTTAACCCTCAAAAGATTACCAAATTGTAAAGTTTTATAAAAGAAATTTTTCAAAATTCTTTCAAAGGAATTCCAATCTCAATAATTCAAATCTCAAATATGATTTAATAAGCTCAAATCAGAGTTTTGAAAGCAAGGTGGAAGCTTGGAAATCAATTGAGATCCAAATCAATGAGTTTTAAAACTCAAAAATAGATTCTGTGTAAAAAGTGTCACGTGCGTCGTGGTGTGTTTTCTTTGTGCCATGCGCCGCGGCGCATTGCACGAAATTTGACAGCATTAGT